AGTAGTGAAAATAAAAGATAAAATATAAAGTTTTTTCGAAAAAAAATTTATAATTATCTGGAGGTTATAAAAATTTCACATGTGAAATTTGAAAATATTCTAATGCATAAAAGTATTTTTAATCTTAAAATCAAAATTACTTTGCATGTTGGATAGTCAACATTCTGAAAGAAAAAATTTATGAGAAAATCTTTAATTAAAAAAATCTTAATATTTAATTTAAAAACCTGTTATTTTATGTATGAAAGCCATATAATGTTTACCAATAATCTGCAAAATTTTGCAAAGATATGCATACATTATCAAAAATCATAGCATAATTACTCTCATGGATACTTTCGTGGTTACGAGCTGAGTGGATTCCACCCAGCCCATAATGGAAGGGTTAAAGAGGCTCCAAAGTTTAATATAAGATCTATCTGAAAATGATCACTTTTTATTTTAATATAAAAGTAGTGTGTGGCACACGTAAATCAAAAAGATTGATTTTAACTGTTACTCAACTTATATCATTCAGTAAATAGGCTATTATTTTTCATTTTGAAAATCAAGTATTCTTTCATTCTGTTTTATTTTGCAACAGTGAAATAGTAAGGGTACTTTCTTGCAAATGTTTACGCAGCATCTCCATGAAGCTGTGAATATTTGTTTAATTTTCTTTTGATATAATATGTAGTCCTCTGAAGAGTTATTATCAAGTTCATTAATCTGGAGAAGGATTTCAGAAGTAATGAAGCTGCAGTCAAACATAAACCTGATCTCTTGTGTTTTCTGTTCTATTAATCAGTTCAATAAGTGTTTAAGCGTTTATTTACTTTCATTTATTTTTCAGGTGCTAGGTTTTTCTAATACTCCTCAAGAATATGTGGGTTAAAATTAGGGTTTCAAGTACGAAAGCTCATACTGCCATTAACTTTCTGAATATAATACTGATAAAGACAAATTATATGACAGTGGTACAATACATTATGCTGCATAACACTGCTTGTAAAACACAGAAGGATAAAATAAAACCAACAAGTACACATTTCAGAATGAAGATTTGCAGGTTCTATTGTTAAGTATCAATGTACTCAAGAGCCACCCATTTCAGTCATTTATGTTGCAAGATTCTGAATACAAAAGTTTACCATAACTAACAATATTATTTCATTTTTTGATACCAGTGGTGTTTTTGTAATCCCCATTTCACAAGATTAGCTTACCCAGGGATAGTGTGACCACAATTTGAAGTTGCTTTATTGGTTGCTATGACAATTATCTTGTGGGCCAGCTATTTAAGACTCACACCATCTGGCCTCTGCAGTGCAGTTTTTATGGCAACATGGTTAGAAACACTATGTCCAAGTGGTTACACAGGGAAGGCAAAAATAAAGATATCACATAAAAAATATTGTGCCCAAGTATTTTTCACTCAATGGAGATCATGTAAACTGCAGATCTTTGCTTACATACTCCTCTTAATTTGTCCATGATTAATAAAACTGATAGGCCTATTGGCTTCTAATGCTTCACCAGTTTTTGAATTTAACCAGTAACTTTTAATAATGAAATACCTTTTTAGTATAAGTTGGTTCATCGGCAGTGGAACACTATAGGCGTTTTCAATCCAGGTACTTCTGTCCTAGATACACCAGTTTCTACTCAAATCAAACATCTTTTAACTTTCCTGAAAATGTTAAAATAAAAACATTGTTACGTGTAAATGAAATGAGTTTTTATGTTCAAAAACATATGAAACAGAATAAAAGACATATATATATATACATTATATATTTATTTATAAAAACTTAATAAATAAAATAATAAAGACACAGTTATAATTGACTTTAGAGAAAAATAAATTTGCTGCTAGTAGAAGTCCCTAATTTGTTAGTAAGGGGGAGGAATAACTAGCAACCATTTGCTAGTACCTTCAGAAGTTAAACTGAGGCCTTAGATATAATTTGAGACAGGTATGATCTAAGTAAGACACTCTTAGAAAAAAAACAAGCTAAATCATAGGTAAACCAGACCCTCACAGAAGTCTTCCCTAGAGTTAAAATAAATGGCACTTAGGCAAAAGTACTGCAAATATTTGCCACCCCACATATAGTTCATAGTATATTTTTTGGCCTTACAAGGAAAAATCATGTCCATGTATAGTGCGCAGAGCAATTCTAACAGATAATTGGGCTTTGTATAACGAGCAGTGTATTGTTGTGTCGATTAACATCTGTGAATGCTATTACCAACTAATTAACCATATTACTCAATAAACAAGCAAAGACTGAACTTATGACTGAACAGTTTTATTTTTCTAACTGGTTGACCTCTAGAATGGATTGCCTTCAGATGTTATGGAGGCAGTAAATTTAAGTGATTTTAGGAGAAAGCTTGAGAACTACATGAATGATAAGGGCTGGCTTTAAGATTTGTTTTTAATTTATTTATTTAACAGTTTTAGTTTAGTTTAAAGGATGGGACAACCAAGATGGACCAACACGTCCTATATTGTCCCTAAACATTATGCTATGTTACTACTACTACTACTGTTGCCAGTATTGGTATAAACTACAAATATAGCTCGAGTTATAGGGTTTTTATTCATTTCTATCAAGACTTCTTGAACATACGTCTTTTTCTATCATGAAATTAGTATTAGTACTAGTTAAAACAAGTCATGAAAAAAAGTTCAATATTCCTATACTCAATGCTGGAAAGATCCAAAAGTTGGAAACTCTAAAAAAGGAATACTATGGAAAGCCTTATAATTATTTTATTTCACTTTCTATCCAATCGTCCTAAATAAAATTTATTCACAAATTCTCTAACATATTTCCATACCCATAAGCATAAAGCGGTATAAACATAGAAAAGCACCCTCTAGTAGCATCATTAAGGTACGGATAACATTTTCAAAAATTGAAATACTAGGAATTTAGTTAAATAGGAAATCAAAAAGGTCGTTTGAGAAAAAATTGGCAAATAGTGTTAAAATTAACAGCAAGAATTATGGAAAATATGTTAAAATAAGTAACATGTTAAAACGAGTTCTAAACAATAAGTACTTTTACTTGTCCTATTGACACGTAAGTTTCAAAGTTCTTTGGCCGAATCCAGCAGAAACAAGTTACGGATTGTGCCAATTCTTGTCAGGTGATATGCTCACCTTCTGTACTTAGCCTAGAGATTTACAAGCCACATGTTCTTACTTGACACATGTGTTTATAATCATTAGAAAGCTCATTTTACACTTCGCTGTGTCTGGATAGGAATTCGATCGTTGTGCGCGATCTGGGAGGGTCAGGTTCTATTTAGATCTCATCCTCTCTCCTTTACTATTGTATGATAAACTGTCAAATGCTATAATAGTATTCACTAAATCAGAGTTTGAACACGATGTAAAACATTAGGTTGAAACATTGATTCTACTTCCCTCTTTAGGGCCATGTCCACGAATAGAATGTTTATAGCATTTAGTGCAATTTCGCTATTTCTCTACATTTGATCGTTTACAATCACAAACATTTCCTTAGTAAAATGTCACTTTTTCACTTGAAATAGTTACCAGACGTATATTTTACATATTGTTGCGTCAGCGAGGTCACGTGACTCGTTCTCTCGAACCTTCGGGAATTGTCGAGAGATTACTAGA